AGTCTCAACTCAGTCAATCTCCTATGTGTCTTCTTTACTCCTCATACAAACCACATCATTTCTGATACTTCGGTCACCAAATATGTGGAGGTGGTGGGGTTCCCTACAACAAGCAAGTCTCGACACCCGCTGAGTACCTTACAATTTAACTCAATTCTGAGACTATCTACCCAGCGATAGCATCAGATCACACAAAATAAGGGCTCACTCCCACAAGATCCCTCCCCACCACACCCCATCTCACACGCTTCAAATTCCAGTAGCCAGCCCAGGTTAACATGTGTGCTTCTAACCAGCTAGCTATAGATCATAGGTTCTAACACCCAGCCATTCGATCAATTTGCTACAACACCGCGGAATTCACAGAAACACATCTACTAGTTTATTAAAAGATTGATAAAGGATACAGATGAACCACCAGATAAAGAGATACATCAGTTCAGGTCTGGACAGACCAATTACTATCAACAAAATTAAATCAGTAATCTAAAAACTCAACGGAGAAAAGTCCAGCAGTGGACAGCTTCACAGGTGAATACTAAACATTTAAAGAAGAATAACTATCCTTTTAAAACTATTCCAAAAAAAATTCAAAAGGAAAGAATACTTCCAAACTCATTCTATGAAGCCAGCATCACCCTGATACCAAAACCAGACAGGAAAAAGAAAATTAAACATTTTAACTGTATCCAGTTGAACATCGATACAAAACTTCTCAACAAAATATTAAGCCAAAATCAAGAATACATTAAAAGGATCATACACCATGACCAAGTGGGATTTATTCCAGGGATGCAAAGATTGATCAAATACACAAATCAATACACCAACAAAAATTCCAGCTTTTTAATAGAAAATGACAAACTGGTTTTAAAATTCATACCAAAACACAAGAACCCAAACAACTTTGAAAAAGAACAAAATTGGATGCCAAACACTATCTGATTTTAAGACATAAAGCTACAGCAATCAAAGACAAATGGTATCTTTGTAAAGACAAATAGATCTAGCAACAATAGGAAAGACTTAGACCCACATGTACAAGGACAACTGACTTTTTCACATAAGTGCAGAGGCTTTTCAATGGAAAAATAATAGCTCTTTCAACAAATCGTGCTAGATCTCCATAAGCAAAAAAAAAAAAAAAAGTTACATAAGACCCATACTTTGCACCATATACAAAAATTAGCTCAAAAAGAATCACAGGCCTAAACATAAAACTTTCATTCATCAACTTATAGAGGAAACACAGGAGGAAAATCTTAATGGCTTTAAGTTTGGCAGAGTTCTTACACCAAAAGCAAAATCCAAACAATCCCTCCGATCCCCCGCACAGTCCGCTCTCTCTTTCCATTGCACCTGGGGCGGCTTCTCGGTTCCAGCCTCTCCCTGAAGCTCCTCGCGCCCCGCCCCGACTCTCTGCTCCTCCCGGGACGGTCCTCGCCCCTCCCAGCCCGCTCCGCCCCGCCCACCCGCGTCCCGAGGCGCCTGGCGGGACGCGCGCCCGCCCGCTTCCCCACCCGGAAGAGCCAACTGAGCTGCGAAGTTGAGGCGGTGCACGGGCCCAGCCTCCTGTTTGGCGCTGTTTTCGCGCTGGCGCGAGGCAGGCCCGCCGGAGCCTGCGCGCCCCCGCCGCCGACGGTGCCTCGAGCGGCCTCGCGCACGCGCCTCGCCCCCACCGGCCTCTTCGCGTCCTTGGGGTGCGGTGCGACGCCGCCGCCAGGCCCGAGCTCTCTACGCCCCTCCGCTTCAGGAGAGGCGCATCCCGAATGATTCTGACACTGCGTATCCGCCAGTAAGTTACAGCCGCTGCTTTGTTTCACCCTTATTTATGTTTTAACCCCTAGTTCGTCCCAAGTATCGTCCACATTTGGTTAGTTCAAAACTATTCAATTCTGGGACCGGTTTGGAGACAGAGCTGCCTCGGAGCCGAACCTGGGAAGTGTTCGAGAGCTGCCCAGGTGTTGTAAGGGAGAGGCCGCATCCAGAGACGTTACTGTGAAAGGCGGTCTTCGGAACACTACTGGACTCCACATTTGCCGAGCACCCGCGGGT